CTATGGGTGGAATCTAAACACCTTTGTAATGTGTACAGACCCAGCAGGTGTGTTGTGCAAAGCCCTGAATGAATTCCAAGGTGATGTTGGGTAAATTAGCTCTATGTTGTGTTGCTTGCGTTGATGAATGCAAGGAATGTAAATGCATGAGCTAACCATTTTTGTCTAAACTGTGAAGCAGCATTATATATGCATCATGTGCATGATTTTTCCATATATGGCATTAGTGGAAATATGCTTTTAGAGACTTTTTGGTTGATAAATACGTTTTGCTGTGTGAAAATCACACACACCTGGTGTGTGTGTGTGTTTAGGTTAGTAAATCACCCCCTATGCCTCAGCCGCTTAATGATGAAAGGTGCAGGTCAAATGTTTTATTTAAAAAGGCGTTTATACTGTATCTGTATATTCCAGCCATATTCATTATCGTTGTGAGTTCAAAAGTGCCTCTTTTTTGTTGTGAAAAAATAAATAAAAATAGAGCTTGCATAGTTCTTTGTTGTAGCTTAAAGCCTAAGCCTAAAGTAAAATATCACCTGATCTCTGGGTATTGTAAACATTGTGTGAGGTCATTGTCATTAGAGTTTGCAGAAAGCATTTGTTTTTCAGGCAGATTGACTACATGATAGACATGAAATGAGATAGGATGTTAAGCAAGGTGCAATAACAAAACAGTACCCTTAAGCAGGAAGTACATACTACATGCGTAACAGGCAAACATGGGTGACTATTGACAGACTAAAAGGAATTGTCAAATTGATGGTTATTTTTTTATGAATTGACAAAGGAATGAAGAAAAATATGGGATTTCCTAAGTAAATACAGCTAGTGATTAAATAATACATCCGAGTTATTGTTGATTTAACTACAGAATATGTTAGTTAGTAATATAAGTGACGGATACCATTACAAATGTATTCTTCACTTAGGTTTAAGGCCTGATTCACACCTAGGCAGCACTGTTTTCATGTGTCTCTACGCACATTAGCAGCATGCTGTTATTTGCGCGTTTATGCACATTGTTCCCCCTTTTAATGCATGTTTTAATGCGTGTACATAAAGACACACATTTTGACTGGCAGCTCATGAACCATTGTGGGCAATGGAAGAACGCTTGTTTAAACACGCAACAATGCTCATGATCATGTGCAACATGCTTCTGCCGCGCATTTTTGGGCATTTTCAAAATCTACGGGGGTTTTAACTGTCCAAAGAAGCTCATGTATCTTTAGCGGCGTTTGAGATTTTCCCGCTGGTGTTTTTCTGCTCAGGTGTGAACCAGGGTCATTGAAAATCATGGGATTTCTTGTGTTGGGCATTTAAAAGTGCTTTTTGAACTGCTCAAAAACTCCTACGTGTGAACAAGGTCTAACTGTATCTAAATCCATAGTTTTAGTTTTGGATAAAGTGGTGAATGGTTATAACTACTGACCATTGTCTACAAGACTGAAAGTAATGGCAAATCCGAAATTTTGAGTTGCCATCAGAACAAGAACAGAGGAGAAATTGTCCAGTGGGTGACAACTGTCTAGGAAGGAATTTCTCTTACTTTAGATTTCCTCTCACTTCCTGTTATGTCTCTAACGTGAAACCTCCCCAATGGGACAGAAATGGCTAAGACAGAAATTCAATATAAGAGGTTTATCCATTCCCTACACTATGGCAGTACAACTGTCATTAGAGAAATTTGGGGAGTGTCTTCTCTTGAATATGCTAGTTTCCTTGCATCATCTTTAAATGGAAGTCATGATTGCATTATGCCTATACTAGGTCTGTGACAGTCACCCTAAGTTTTGAAGACAAATAATCTGCATGACAGCCAGACATGACAGGTCATCTATAAGAGCCTAGATATTTCCTTTTGATGTGTTCCATTGCCATCTTTGTTTAGGCATCACTGTGCACCAGCAGCTACCTTTATGACTAGAGGTAGCCATAAAAACCTTGAATATTGGTGATTCCTGCTGAATCAACCAAAATTGGAGCCATGGGTGGCACTGTCTGCACCACCCCGCTCGACAAACTTTAGCTGAAACATGGAAGAAGAAGCCATGTGGCCAACTGTTGGCCATACAGTGGCTGCATCCAGTCACTGTACAGATATTCAGTCACGGGTGCTGACTGCCAGAATACAATAGCCAGCAGAGGAAATTCCTCATTTTAAGCTGTTTAACATGGATGGGGAAATTGACTGAGTTCTGTTATTTGGATTGTGGGGCTGAATGAGAGAAATCTAGGGGTGTATGGTTAGCATTAAATGTTTTACAATGCTCTTTATGTTCTAGGATGTGTGTACATGTCTTACCTGCGTTAACCCCCTGCTTTTGCTTTTATTTTATAATCTGCCAAAAAGTTGCAGTACAACAATTGTACTACAATCCCATTGAGGGATTGCGTGGAGGCTGATTGATAATGCTGCCCTCCTCATGGCTAGGCACAGCCACATGATTTGATTTTTTTCATGTAAAAAGGTGGATATAAATACCCTCACTTTTCATGACAAAAAAAAAAATATATTTTTTAAAATCAGCAAAGCAACAGTAGCAATCTGGATGACTTTTTTCTTTTTTTAAGATAAATCATGTTTGGTGTGTCACATGACCTTCCCCGTGATTCCCTGCCTCTCCACACCTTCTATCTGCTGGAGAATAGCACCTGATTAGAGTTCACACAAATGGGACCCATTCAGCCTTGTGAAATACTCCTAATAAGAGTTTTAATAATAACACAGTATGTTAATTTTATAACTCACTACCACCCAATTTTATTCATGTCTTGAACATGTTAAAGACAGCAATTGCCTAGTAGTTTTTTGTGGTCATTATTTTGGGTCAGCTCGCCAGCAGGACAGTCTAGATTTCTTTTCATTCCAAACTGCAGTCAGGTAAATAAAGTAGATTATTTTCCATTTCAAATAAGCAAATGCTTTCATTTCATTTTTTTGTGTACTATGCTTTAGAGATCATTTTAAAAAATCAATTTTGAATAATCCTTCATTAGTTTCAATGTACAATTGGGGTCGCCTTATAGCGCCATATAAAAAAAAGTGAAAATACCGAAATCTGAAAAACTACAGTGGCTAATCTATTCATATTGATTGCAGAAAAAGCAGCAGAACAATAAGAATTCAGAGATTACAGACAATGATTTCACTTTGAGAATTTCCATCGGTAAGGTGCATTAAACACATTCTGTCTGCGGCTAGGCGCTGATCAGATCTTCAGTGACATATGAAGCTGCTTTTTTTTCCAATACAAGGTGCAGACGTGCTGAATTGGCTTTTCATTCGCTTTCCCAAGGAAAATACCATTAGCTCAAAGATTTAGCCTTGAATACTTAAGGAAGGCGTGATACATACAAACTGTTAACCTTCTTAAAAGCTTTTTCCAATCTTTTCTAAGCCCTGGAGAAGCTGATTTTACTTGGGCTCGGTCATTCACAGTAAAATGATTCCTTTGACTGGCCTATAATTATAGAGTGCAGTAAAGAAGTATTTCCAGCGTAAAAAAACCTTTTGACTTGCCGATGTGATTTTGGTCAAATGGAGCCTGACTGTTCTAATTTTTAAATGAAAAGGTATCTCTGCACCAGTGTTTTGCCAGTTCCGTTTAATGTAAGTGTAAATGATCCCAGTGCTATGAGACTAGATAATAGTCATTTTCATATTATGGAAAGGATTACATGCCAATAAATCTCAAAGAACTAAATGGCTTTTTATTTCTGTTTTACATTCATAACACAATGGGAAATTGAATAAAAGAACACTAGTGAGTTAAATGGAATTAATTTTTAAAATTTTGTTTTATAACTTGGAATGGGCTTTTCTTACACTGATACAGTAATGTAGTCTGCCTATTGTTTAGGTATACCTAAAACCAATGTTTTTTTTATATAGTTTGGGATGCAGTGGGGAAGATTTAAAACCCCTTAAAGGTTTTTTTTGTCGTTTTGGCTACATTTTTCGGTGTTCCTGTTTTGTCCTGTCAACAGGAAGTGAGAAGAAATCTCTCTAAATTAAAAAGGAAATCCCCTCTTGGACAGTTATCACCAGATAACAAAATGTTTTGGTTTTACATACCTTTATTGTTCTACCACTGTGTCTTTGGACCAACATCTGTGTGCTGCCGAAAAGGACAGTAAAAGTGGTTCCTGTGGAACCTCTAAATTAGTAATTCTAAAGGTCTTGCATGTGCAATTGTGCACTTTAAGATGTGCAAAGAATAACCTGACAGGCTAGAATAGTTTGAATAAGTTAGTGGTTTGTGTAGGATATTGAAATCTGGTTTTGGAGCCTCAGACTGTAAGGTATGCACATTGTCAGGAAAACTGGAAAAGTGACAAGCAGATGTCCTAAAATCTACTAGAATGACTAGATTGTTATATATTTACAATTATCTGTCTGTCAGTACTATGAAAGGGTCACCTTACTGTTGTCCTGTATTGTCTGCTGAAGCCAACCATATGTTAACTTGCCAGAATTAACACTAGTCTCTTCAGCATAATTCTGGGAGCCATATTATAACAGAGTCTCTTTTTTTCAACCACAGTAACAAGTATAACAACATTAACAATAAAGATGACATAGGTTATGATGCCTACTGCTGATTAACATTTTTGGGAACTGTGAAAATCTACATCACAAAAAGTATTCTCCATTGTTAATATATGAAATTCTTTGAAGCAACAGAATAGTTTAAAACAGCAGCCCAAGGTGAAGCCCTGTTTTTGGTTTTAATTTTATTTTTAAGGAGCTCATACATAAACATAACAAGCTCAGTTTACAATGAAGTGATGTCTGAGAGTCCAGTTCATCCCATTTTTGTTTAGATCTGTTTTTGCTTCTTATACCATATATACTACTTCTATAATAAATGTTATTATGTTTGTTATAGCAGATTATTTTATTGTACAGTTAATTTCTATTTCTAAAAGTATTGTGCTTAAATAGTAGAAATCCCCTAAGTTTAACAAAACATGCATTTCTTTTGTTTTCCAGGAAAAGAAGAATACATTGCCACATTTAAAGGGTCTGAGTATTTCTGCTACGACTTGTCTCAAAACCCAATACAAAGCAGCAGTGATGAAATTACTTTGTCGTTTAAAACCCTTCAGAGGAACGGACTGATGCTTCACACAGGGAAATCTGCAGATTATGTCAATCTGGCGCTGAAAAATGGAGCCGTCTCTTTGGTCATTAATTTGGGGTCAGGGGCCTTTGAGGCCTTGGTGGAACCGGTGAATGGAAAATTTAATGACAATAGCTGGCATGATGTGAAAGTAACAAGGAACCTGCGTCAGGTAACAGTACAATGGATGAAAAAGTGATTTATTTTGTCTTCAATACCACTAAGTAACAGAATACTTACCAATACATCTATTTTTACACACCTGAGCAGGGGCAGACCTAGAAAATGTCAGGGGCTGGCTGAGTTTAAATTAACACTACATTCTCAATAGATACCAAAAAAAAGTAAAACAAAAAAAAAACCTTGACATAGTTTGATTGGCTGCCGGTGCACTCAAGTTTAGTTTAAGAAGCCACCTTTGCACAAAACGTAATCTTGTGTTCACCTCTTTGTACATTACATCAAATTTTCAAAAGTGTTCAACACCATCCTCCAAATTTGCCAGGTTTCTTTCTTCAAAGCGTACATGCGGATGGACAGATCCAGCAGGTGAGAGTCATAAAAGGCATGCTGTGTTAGTTTTTGTCAGTGGCACAAAACAAGGGTGAAAGTGCAATTTAAACAGTGTCTCCACCTTTCTGATAAATGTGATGTGGTGAGGAAAGGCAATGCAGTCCTAAGCTTTGCAAATAATAACTAAGGGGTATCTGGTTTGTTTCTGACTAAGGAAAAACATTTAAAAATGGTATATAATTTAATTGCTGCTTTAAAAAATGGTTAAATCTTACCTTTCTTTTTTTCTAATTTGAAGCCACCTATGATTTTCTACAACTGACAAAAATAAAATATCCATAGCAGCTGTGTGCACAGAGCTTTATGCAACATTTGAGGCATTCCAAGCAAAATCCTTTAATTCAGTTTATTGCAGAGGGCTTTCATCTTTATAGTAGGAAGACCCTGCTACTAAGCACTCACTTTTAGGAATTTGCATTTGCACAGAAGCAGGTATGAATTTGCAATTGGTTTGTTAAAATGATTGCATTGTATGTTGGCCAGCAGAAGAATATTCTTGAATCAACAAAACTGGAGTTTTATTTTAAGCTATGTTTTGTGCCTGTTAGGCAATAATTAGGTTTTGGTGTGCTTATTGCACATGCCAAATAATTGATAATAATTTTTTGTAGATAAAGCAAAGCTAGCTGCAGGCCCCAGACCAGAAAGCCTCTACTTTTCCAGAAAACTACTTCTTCTAAGGAAGTACTATTCTTCTTTTGGATTAGTACCTAATGGGGTAGCTTACTACCTCCTAATAAAGACCCTGATGTCACAGGAGGAAAATATTCACACTCCACTGTGTTTCAAAATGAGCAACACGGCTTGCCCAGTCTGGTGGTATACCTATGCAAATGTGAAAAAATGTGATAGGATAGCTGAATTTAACTGGATCAAAAGTTTAATTTGTATTACCCGAGTAAAAAACAAATAATTTTCCTGTGTCTACAGGTAAATGAAACCAAAGTGTCAGCATGTCCTGCCGTGCACAGTGGATACTTTTAAAGCTTGTAGAATCATTTAGGGGAAAAAAAATATGTATTGGCAGGGTTAAATGTTTTGCTGTCTTGCCTTGCAATATCATATATGTCAAAAAGTGGAGATGGGCTTTAAACAAAATTTAGAACATGTTTCCTACTTACATTAAAGTGATAATCATAAAATTTATTTTATTGATGGTACCCAATCTTAATGTATACTTGTATATGCACTAACATTTTAGAATGTACAATGTCACTGTTGCTGTTAAATAAATATTTATCCAGTGACTACATTTATATGAGAATAAAATGCTACAGAGAGGGTATGATAGCAAATTCAACATTAATGTTCAGATATCCATTGCTTCACGCTATATACAAAGATATTGAAAATGTTTTTCAGTGGTAGTTGAAAACAAAGCACATAAATTAAAAATTAGTTATTATTTTTATGCTTTAAAGTGTTTTTCCATCCAGCTTTGATTTGTTGAAGTTTTCATAAACAGCTTCTTAACTCACTGTTTTGCAACATGACACTAGGTGCTGTTTTAAAAGGGCTTTTTAAATCTGCCCCTAGTGTCACTTCACACTAGCGACAATAATGCCATACAAACAGCAATCACCCAACTATATAAGGAGTGAATCCTTTATAAATTAGTCCCTGTCTGTCTTGAAGGACAGAAAAGGAAAGATTAGAATGTTGCACTGTGAAATGATTTTAAGTGAATGACCTTTACCTGTTTCCAGGGAGAACTTATCTGGAACCAAAACTAAATAAATATTCAACTGGGTGAAAAAATACTTCAGGCTGTGTGAAGAAATCCTTCAAGCTAATTAAAGTTGTCTTATGCTCATTTTGCAAACATTTTGTTTAAATTGTGTGCACTTCCTAGAGGCAAATATGTGCAAAATCACACTGGTATTCTCATATGTACACAATATGCTGCTGCCATTGATAAAAAACACCTCTCTCAACTGTAAGAACATGTTCTTATATAATTCTAATTAAGAAGTGCCAGTCTACCTTTTATTTCCAGTTACCAAAATCTGAACTATAATTTTTAGTGTTTCTTAGAACAGTATGCTCCTAAATATAGTTGTAAAAGGTTGTTATAGAGTTTAGAACTGATTTTGATTTAGCATTCTGAACATTTAAATACAAATGTGACACAATATTGCCCTGTACATATTTTAAAGCTAAAATATATGATTTGAAGCGTGTTTCGCTTTTTTTCTGTAGTTTCTATAGTTTCCCTATTACTATTTTTTGCCACATTATAATTTGTAAAACCATATTTTACAATATACACAACTAAGCTTATTTTTTATATACTATACCCTACTTTTTATAAAGTCCCTGTGTTGATTTTGTGTGGACTTTTTACATTAAGAGTGCATTACAGTGCATTTTGCAATATATTTGTATAATGTAGGATACTTATCAACATGTTAACATGTTTTATTGTATGGTTTCCATGTGCAACTTAAAATATGGTTATTTTACAGCTTTTAACCACTAAGAAATATAGCTGAAAAATAATGTCATTTATTTCAGTGCTTATAATAGTTTTCACGTTACTTGTCCATTTATTACAGCTCATTAGAAATTTTAGATTTCTCACATGCAAAATAACTACCATGAAAGTATCAACTAACAAAATCTAACTTTTAAACTTCAAGTGTGTTTTCTTTTTATCCAAGGAAAAAAAAATTACTTTATAGGTCTGTCTTTAAAAAAGTGCACAGCATTTGTTTGGTAAGCCTAATGTATAAAATATTTACTTGCCTAGTGGTATAAAAATGTAAGGAAAATAAATCACTCCCAAGATATCAGCAGGGTGCCATTTTCTTGTCTGTTATCATTTCTGGCATCAGATGGATCGATTTTTTTCAGCAGTATACCCTGTCTGTCAGCTTAGGTTCTTCAGTAGTCTCAAAGGTTTCGATAATTCATTAATGTTACAAATCATCCCTTTCCTTACACAGAGTAACAGTGTAAAAGAGCAGGATTAGGGCCACCCTGCTGCAAAAGAAGGATCCTTACATGTGGTGCTGAATAACTTTATGCAAGCACAAATTTACAACTGAAGCTTAAAGGAAAAGTGCACAGCAAATTAGTCCACTATACACATACAGAAACACTTTTGAATTAAGAACTACTTTAATTACTTGATTTACAACGTTACATATTGAATGGTGATGTTCTAAGTTGTGTGTTATCTGAAAAAATAAATAAACAGTGAGGATAAACTAAAAAATAACTAGGCAAACTTAAGCCCATTTCAAACAAAGTTTTTTTGAAGGGTTGAAACTTTTTCAGGACTTGTCTCCATTGGTAAGATTTCCCTCAATTCCTGTCCAGCTGCAAGGGGATCAGAGGGTCAAAGAGTGCTAGGAAATGTTTCCAATGGGGACATGTCAAAGACTAATGTCTCAATGCAAGTGTGTATTGTGGTTTGTGCCTTTATTTCCTAGTGACCCCTGCCCCCCTTCTCTATTCTGTTACCTTGTTGTCACAGGAGTATAAAAAAGGGAAAATTCCCCCAGTGGAGTCAAAAAATAAATAAAAGTTTTACAGAAGCACTAGCTGTACCTACTCCCTCACTCTTCAAAACTAGGCAAAATGTTGTCTGTAACTAGATTGATTGATATGTAGAGTATGGTTCCAGTGTAATTCCCATGTCTTTTTTCATTTTTTTATAATTCTTTACATTTAACATTCTGATTTATAATATTTATAGTTATGCATTAAGATTTAACTATAGGGGGGAGAAAAGAAAACATATTTCAAAGACTACCTAAAAAACTCAGATTTAAAAGCAAAAGACTGTCTTTCTTAATCCTTTTGACAACCATGGGATGCATGGATGGATAAACAGAATATACATATGCAAAAATAAAATGAATTGGCAAGCCATTAAATGCCCACTTTCTAGATTTGCCTTTGCTCACGCGGTTAGTTAAAACAATCAAAAACAAATTAAAATTATGAAAACATTTTTATAAATATACTAATTAAATGGAGACTGTTTAGCCAAGCTGGTGCATGTTTTACAAGCCAGTTGCAGAAACCCATTCAACTCATTATATGTGTCAGGATCTTCTTTGCTTTGTTTCATTGCAGTAATCTGTGACCCAAAAAAGCCCATCAGTATGACCGAAAGACGTTTTGAAGTTGAGGAGGATTCCTTGAGAGCTGTAATTTCAGTAGTAGGGGAATGTGAACTAATTTCTGAATTAAAAGAAAAAGATTTAAAAACAATATCTGAAATGGAGCCATATTTTCCAGGATGTGGCCATTTTGATTCTTTAGCCATTTTTAATGTCTGTCAGTTGTATTTAGGTTAAAAATATGGGGGAATGGTGACCATGTGTCCGTTTTTGTTCAGTACAGAGCTGATAAGTTATGAAATATATTTGCAGGACAAATATTATCGTGGTTGCCTCTTTGCAGGCCTACTTGTTAGTCTGCTTTTTTCTTGTAAAATTTTTTTGCCCTTTTTTTCTATGTTACTAACATGCTTAATAACTAACATGTCACTCATGGAATGTGTCATTCTACTAACCGTTACCTGAATCAAAAAATGTACTAACATGGTAGTGACCATCTTATTTTTTTAAGTAACAATCGTTATTATGTTCACAGTTTTTAATTTCCTTTCTCCCCCCTTCTCCACAAAGCACTCAGGCATTGGACACGCTATGGTAAACAAACTACATTGTTCGGTAGATATCATTCTAATTGTTTCTTATTTTGGGTTTGCCGTGTGTTTTTCTTTCTTTCTTTAACTGTAGACATCATTACAAAAGAGGAACTGCGGTTGGTACTCTTCTGCTTACTTTCAACTCTTTCTTTTCATCTGTTGTTGACCTCCTAAGTTTTACCTGTCCCTATCAAATTTAATTTATTTTTTCTATTTTTTTAACTATTTTTTATTTTTTGTTTACTCACACATAGGGGCATCATTAACTTTACTACCTTTTGCATCAAGCCGTAATTAACAAAAAAAGCTAACCTTTGGCTGGCCCATGTGGCTTCTGGCTCGGCCAGATTCTAACCATCCATATAGCATGGCATGGACGCTTGACTTACAGTGTTATGGTACATCCATACATCTTTCTCCATCACAAGCAGTTTGGTTATATGTTTATTTTTACTTTGTCCTTGTTTATAGTCTGTAGTGTGTTTTCGCATGTGCACACTGAAGTGCGATTTTTTTACTTTGTTTATTTGCGTTTTATGTTATGTTTTGCATGTGATTTTTTGCTGCTGCTCATTTGTTATTCAGTGCAAATAGTGGTGGTGCTTAATACCGCTTGCGTCATTTATGTCCCCCTATCCCAAACGCATGTTTTAACTAGTCAATGACAGACTACTAAACTTACTAATACGTACAACAGCTGAACTAACCTAGAAAGCATTTTACTAACACCATTTTTGTGTCTGCTAAATAACTGTTCAGTTGCTGTAGGGACAATACTGACACTAGCTCATTAATCAGACAACAGCTGAAATACAGTAGTCTAGATCCTTTTTAGGGGAAGATGAATTCTAGAAACCAAGACCAAACTTCAAACAGACATGAAAATGGATTTCCAAACTAGGTTTCAAATCAGGCACATCCCAGAACTGCAGTATTTAGGTCTGAGTATAGCGTGTCCTTTCCCTGTGCTTTGTTATGTAGGTAACAATATCAGTGGATGGGATTCTGACCACAACAGGCTACACACAGGAAGACTACACCATGCTGGGTTCAGATGACTTTTTCTATGTTGGAGGCAGCCCCAGCACAGCAGATCTCCCCGGCTCACCAGTTAGCAACAACTTCATGGGCTGTCTAAAGGAGGTAAGATTATTATTTACCTTTAAGCATTGGCTAGCAGATTGCTTTGCTGGATATGTATGAACAATGCATTGATGAATTATATGAGTTGCTGATAACCTACCACATTTCATATATTTTACCAACGAGTACTAACTAAGTAACAAAATATATTCAAGTTAGATGGCTGCATACTTTGTATTTTGTGCCCTAAACCAGCAAATGTGGATGCACATTTGGCCAAAAGGGAATAATTTGAGTGCTTTGCATGCTTGTGCCTTCTATCCTAAAATGAAGAAATGTCAAATTGTTTTTAGATTTGTGAGGAACTCCTTCCTTTTAATAGGACAATGTTGTATTTCCTATTATTTTTAATATGGAATGTGAATCTTTCAAATAATGAAGACACTAAACTAAAAATGTTCTATGGCACTGAAACGTTGACTCTTCGACTGTTGTGCTCCAGGACTATTCTTTGCAATATTCCCTACATCATGCTCTAGGCAAATATAGGATATGCATCAGATATCTCTACTTAAATGTACATCTTGGTTATGTGAAATAACTTCAACTAATACTGGCTCTGAAGCCGTGATAAAATGTAATTCATGAAGACAGGTTCTATCTTCTCCTTTCAGCACGAATCGGCTGAAATTTGGTCTGTCGATGACCCTATTCCCTCGAAAGAAATCAATCATTAGATCAACTTTTGCTAAAGGAGCATGTTCAAAATTTCTCAGCTGAATGGTGCTTGCAGCTAATTAGCTGCAAGCACCATTCAGGTACTCTGACAGTGGTCAGCCTGGATGGAGGAACCTGTTATATTTTTTTGTTCAGCTCACAAGATAAAAAAAAAGATATATTTTTATAAGGTATATACCATACTTAAAAGCCCTGAAAGACAGTGAAATCTGCCAGTAGAGGAGCAGGGTCTAGCAAGAGTTGTGAAAAAAAAAGGAATAATAAAGTTTGTTAAATAAAGATAATTGTATAGTTAGTTGTGCAGCTTTCACTTGTACTACTTAAGTTATTTTGGTGTGACAAGATCATTCTGTTGCCTAAGTTTATAACTTGACACGTGAAAACAAAGTAGATGGGAAGCCTGAAGAACTATAGGTATTTGTAATGAGTGTGTGGTATCTCAGTGGTTCACCATTTATATCATGAAAAAATTGCTTCTTATAGAATTGCCCAAGAGCCCCTAAAAAGGCAATTGGAGCTGAAACTTCAACTTGGAAAATCAAACTATTTAATTCTGAAAATCAAAACAAAATATTGTTTCCACTTCAGGGCTCTCCTGTAGAAAAACATATACTGTAGAAAAATTATAATGCTCAATAATTACGTTAATTAATAGAACAATATTTGTTATTGCTACTGTGAGTGTGCCTCGACTGTGTCTAGTTACACAAACAAACTCCTATTACAACATAAGTGTTATAAATATACTGTCAGATCTTATCTAATCTAAACACCTATACAGGTGGCTAAAACCTACCTTTATGTAGGCGTTTGGTTATGTGCCAGTTTAATACCTCTACTCATGTTCAGAGATTAAAAAAAGCCATAAAACAGTCATGTATATGGTCATGTAATCAATAAATGTATTTATTATGCAACTAGTATACATGTCTGGAATTGTTTTGATATCAGCCTTCTGTAATCCTCTTTCCAACAGCAGTGTGGGAGAGGGAAATCTGGTAGTAGCAGTAAATCAAGAACTGCTGCAGTGCACATATGCTGGTACTGAACATATTAAAAAGTAATAATGTGCCCAACTGCTGATTATTTGTCCAATAAGCAAGTTGGAGTTCTGGCCCAGATTTTTAATCAACTTGTGCTGCTTCTTTATTAGATGTCTGGTCCGTATTTGTTCTTTCTGGCAGGACTGTCTGGACCACAAACATGGCTGCACATAAGCACAAATCCTTTGGCAGGTTAAACCATACACATATACAATGCGTATTGCAATTGTATATTTAGCTACCTGCCTGGGGTATAGCATCAGTTTAGGACTAACCGGCTTGTGACAAGTTGTGGCTCAGATGTCACCAGGTACATGAAGTGTCATTCATTTAGAGCAACAGATGCCTCATGTCGGGTTTAAACCGCCGAACAAGGTCACAGTGGTCTATGTAATAAATGTGATCCTAGTAGAGGCCTTTTGGCAGCTTAGGCGGTATGTCTGTAGGGTCCATTTGTGGACATCCAGTATTAAACTCATGCATGAAAATTTGCACTGCTGTTCTAGCCCTTTCCTTCTGCTCAAACCACTGTGTGTGAAGATGGTGGTGCAAACTATTTATTGTTGGGGCCGTCTTCAGTCAGCAAGAGCCCTTCACCATTCAGAGCTTAGAGCATGTGTGGGAGAAGAATATTTTTCTGACTATTGGTGGATGACAAGAGAGGCAAAATGAACAGCACGGAAGATGTCACAAATAAACCTATAAACAAAGTGTTTTAGAGATGAAGGAGCATAATAATATAATGTAAGCATAACCTAGCATCGAGCATCCAAACTTTTTCCATAGCCACGTTTTGTCTATAGGTTAAAAAATTCCATTAATAAGACATCAATCATGAGCTTTATGCATTTTATCTTGAAAGGGACACGTTTAGGCACATCATTTAGTAAAACTTGTCTATGCTATTTTAAACTTACAGATGAATCATCCTCATAAACTAAATCTAAAACACATTTTCCAAGATATATAATAATTTGCTGAATGCTATAGCCATAGATGATATCTGTTTATCTTTTTAAACTCAAGATTCACACAACTTTCATCCTTCACATTTAAAATTTGAGTCTTTTGGATGAAATTTCTGTGGATATTTGGTAAACAAGTTATAATTAGACCCCCATGGTGTACATTATAGTGTGTTTTCCCATGCAGTAAATAAGTGCAAAGTGATCTGTTCATACAAATGTAATGTGGGAAATACTCATCACTAAAGGTGAGCCAAACAGTTAGCAACACTTTGACTTGCCCTTATGTTGGCAGAGAACAAATGACTATAACAAGCTATTTACCCAGTCTGCAATGGCTTAGTCAGTAGGATGCACACATTATTAAGACGATCTTCTAGCCATGATCTTCTTTTGTGCCTATATTGACTGATCTGCAAATATATCAGCAACTGGAAAATACATACCTCCTAGCTTTCTGAGAATTTGGGAACTAAAGGCCTTTCCCCATCCCCTACATCACAGTACTCAGGCCTTCCCCATTAGTCTGTCAGGTGCCATGTACTACATAGCAGGAGAAAGGGGGGATAGCCACATGCTCCCCCACACCTAGGAGTACTGGATGTTTCCTAAGGTTGGTGAATGGCTTATCAGGGAAGTGCAGTAGAATAAAGAAAAAAAAGACACAGCGGGGTTTCTCTTCTTGGCGGCCGGAAGCGGGAGGCTCCCAGAGCGCCCCGGAGATTTTTAACATTTTAAATTTTTTTTTTTGAAAGCAGCAGAGCCGCCGGACAATAGGAAACTATTGGGCGGAGCTAGCTGTCACTGCTAGCTCTGCACAATCGTTTTCTATTAACTTTTTTCTACTTTTTTATGTTCTGCTCGGTGCCTCTGAGGGACCGAGCAGAACAGCCGAGCCAAATGCCGCTCGGCGGCATTCGGCTATTCTCTCACTGCTGCTCGGGATCTTTCAGAATAGCCCAAACAGCAGTGTGAAGCCTGCCGGAGGTTCGGCTCAGCCGATCCAGATGTTGGATCGGCTGAGTCGAACTCCTTCTGCACTTCGGGTCAGCCGAACATGCTGAGCATGTTCGGCTGATCCGAAGCCACACGAAGCAAGCCGATGTACGGCTGATTTCAGCCGATGTACGGCTGAAATCAGCCGTACCAGCCTGAAGTGAATAGCCGAACAGTGTTCGGCTCACTTCACTTCAGGTCGGCCATTCACTCGACTGCCCTCGGCAGCTTTGTGAATAGACCCCTAAGTGTTAGTAGCAAATAAGGTGGGCTATAAAAAAAACCTGTTTGCTCTACATAGGCAAAATAACACATTTACTTTAAGATATTTTTAGTTCCAATCGATTACTCTGCTATTATAGTAGTATAGTACTGTTTTTTTTTCTTTTCCTTGCACGTGGTTGGGTATTCTTTGCAAAGTGAATTTCCACTACATTCACTAAGCAACGTAAATTCCCTTTCAAAGAAAAAATACCTTGAAAAGTTAACAGCCTTTTTTCCTTTAGTAAATGAACTGCTATATGTATACAGGTATGTGACATATATAGTGGTTTCTGCAACTATGTAAGCAGTCTTAACCTCGCTATAAGTGATGAGTCAGAAAAACTGTCAAGCTCCCCCTTTTGCAGTTCATGGAGATAGCAGGTCAGTATAGCACATTTACTCTGTTAAAGAGAATACAAAGCTTGATTTTACATGGATTCCAAAATAAAATGTTTTTGGGGTAATTAACTATTAATTGATATGTCCAAAATAAACTCATTGTCCATGTAAGTAGTACATCACTATTTACCATTCATAGTTAACTTTCCACGCAATATCAGAAAATGTCCACTCCAGCAGTGTGCCAATAAATGTATTAGTGGTTGACAGGACATGTCTGGGAATAAAGGACCCTTCTGCAATAGGTACAGGCAGCATTTTATCATAAAACTGTTTCAGATACACACTATTCAGTACTGCAGTTATCTGTGCTAGCATTTAGGGTGATTTGATGCATAAAACTTTTATATGATATCCTTTAAAATTGTAGCACAGTTTTAAGTAGTGTCTGGTTTTAAACATTTAACATTCAAGGTATCAGAAGAGTGTCTGGCAGAAAAGAAGGCTGTTCAGGCATGAAAATATGCAATCTGAATAGCTGAACAACTCTAAAAAGCCATAGTTATAGAACAAATGTGATTCATATAACTACCGAGTAAGAGAGAGAGAGAGAGAGAGAGTTCCGTGTTAGCCTTTAATCCAAGTGGCTGATGGATCGTTAATGAAAGTTAAAAACGGTTATGAAAGTTACCAGCTTGATTCTTGAGTATATTGG